CTAAATAATTGCGCCGGGCGAGAGCTAGCGGAGCCAATGGAGGCTGAGAAGTAGGACTTCTTAGCGGCCTTCACTGCCATCTCATAGGTTTTCATAAAAACCCTATAAGATGTTCTTGAGGCTCCGTCACGGGCACCCCGCCATACTCGCTCTAGCCGTCTGAGGTCCTGCTTCATTTTCCGAAGCTCCTCAGTAAACCAGGGAGCCCGGTTTCTGCGGGGTCGCAGAGGGCGCCTAGGTGCGATCTCATCGATGGCTGCTAGGAGCTGGATATTCCAGCCCTCAACAAGCTCAGTCAATGAGTCGCCAGGGGGAGCAAGGTCCCGCAGGCCTGACAGAATCTATCAGGGTCCATCAGTCTCCGTGGGCGAGCCCAAATTGGCTCGCCACCTAAGCAGGGTGGGGGTGGAAAATCAATCCTGGCTTTCAGAGCGTAGTGATCAGACCATGGCACCTTCATCGAAGGAGACATGATCACATCTATACCGACGCCAAAGATCAAATCCAGTGTGTGGCCTGCTTGATGTGCGGGGCCCGAAACAAACTGGGAGAGCCCTAGTGTTGCCATGGAAGACACCAGGTCCAGAGCCTGTGAGGAGGGAGTGGCATCAGCATGGATGTTGAAGTCCCCCAATACCAATAGGTTAGGGAACTCCAAGGCCCAGCCGGCCACCGCCTCCAGCAGGCCTGACAGGGTGGCTGCTGGTGCGCTAGGTGGCCGGTACACCAGCCAGACAGCCAAGCTCACCTTGGAGCCCCACACTAGGCCAACACATTCAATGCCGGGGATCGATGGCGATGGTAGAGCCCTGAAAGAACAATCTTCCCAGATTAACAATGCCACCCCTCCCCCCCGGCCCACAGTCCGCGACTGGTGGAGGACGGAGAAACCCGGGGGCGCCATCTCTCATAAGGTAACAGTTTCCCCTTCGCGCACCCAGGTCTCTGTCACACAAGCCAGGTCAACCCCCTGCGAGGTGAAGAAATCTCGCAGGGTGGCGGTTTTGTTGCCTATAGACCTGGCATTGCACAACACCAGTGACGGAGGTGAGTAATCCTTGCTCACCCTACCCTCGTCCCTCGGGATGGGGCGCAGATTGGAAGGGTACGAGCATATCCGTATCTCGATCCCCTTCGCCTATGACATCTGCCCCCACCGCCATACCTCCCTCGCCCCACCACGGTAGCAATCCCAAGCCTCATACCAACCTCCATTTACAAAATAGAAAAGCAAACCAAACCAAAAACAATTGTGCCAAAAAAACCCAATCCCCACCCCACTCAATATCCAACCCCAAACCAAAATAAAACGGGACAAAATAAAAATACATCAATAAAAACCACCGTTCACGGTGGTACAACAAAGTACAGTATTGTACTTTGTGCAGTATTGACCCGTACACTACTAATCCGCTGCCACCAACCAGGTCCTCCCGGGTAAAATCACTTCAGTCTCAGTCAGCTTCTCAATTAATAAAGAAGAGAAGAGTGTATTGTATTTCAGACACAAACAAAACTTTTATAGCATTTCAAACGTTGTTGCTCTTTACTTTCTTAGTCTTATTTTCCTCTCTCTATCTATTCTACCTCCCCACACCCAAGAACCCACTGCCCTAACTGTCTCTCTATTACCAACTGCCTTTCCCAACCAGCCAACTCACTCAAACCAACCAACCACCCACCCACAACCCCCAACTAACTAAACTCCCAGAACTGGTTTTATAGTCCCACTGACTCCACCCCCCTGGGTCCTGACTGGGCAACCTGTTTAACTATTTCCCCTCCAGCACTCTCTCATAAATGTTAACATCACAGGGTGGTGGTAGAATCCCCTCCATCCCCTTTCCTCACTGACCCCAGGACCAAGAGGGGCTTGAAGACCCCCAAGAAATCGGAGACTGCCAGGGGTGCCAACTTGAATAAAATATTATGGGGGCCCAGGTAAGCTCCGGCCCACATAACTGATCACATGATGCAGTCCACACACAACATTTGAATGGGAATGCCCATCAACTTTGGGGGGGCGCCCCCTCAAATATTTATTGGGGGAGCCAAAGGAACCTCACCCCCTAGGAGTTGGCTCCTATGGAGACTTCAGCTGCATGTCACCAATATTTCCTCTGGAGGAGGGGGGAGCAGATCACAGCAGGGGGAGATTCCCTGGCTTCTTCAGCAGCCTGCCTCATCTCTGCCTCTTGGCTCCCCTCCTCTTCAGCCTCCACTTCTACCTCTGATTCTGGACTGCTCTCTGCCACCAGTTCTTCCAGCTCACGAAACCCTGTTGCCTCTTCGTCTCCCTCTGACCACTCGTCGTCATCCCACCACCAATCTGCTGGCTCTCAGCCTTCTTCCCGGGGGGGGGGCTCTCTTGGGGGTTCCCCAGCTGGTGGCCCCCCACTCCTCTGCATCGAGCCAGCCCATGACACCCAGCAACATCAGAGACCACGGATGAATATGGTTGTGCAAGTTAGCCTTTTAGGCTCACCGCTTCTAGAGAGCAGAGACAGAATAGTAGCACTCCTATATTTCTGCTGTTGCGTTTTCACATTTGCTCAAGCGATGTGGACTTTGGGGGGAATGTTTGTTCTCACGGTGGCTGACCAGCCTAGACAATTTCACATCCACAGTAGAGGAGAGAAATCATAGAAGGTGATATGTGGCGTTCTACAGAAAGCATACATAGGAATACGATCTAAGTAATTTCCCTGTCAGTGAAGCATATTTTTTTATGGTTTTGTATGGAGAGGGTGCTAGTACAGTTTGTTCTGCTGTTCATGAATCATCTTAATGGCTTGGAACATCAAATGATATTAACAGCTGGATTGGGTCAGCACGGAACATCTTGCCACTCATAGATTCTAGCCAAAAATACTAGCCAAAACAATCTAAATTAAGCATCTCAGATGTCTCATGTGGTACAATTATGTTGGTGGGGGGATCTCTGACTGAAGCCATAGCTAAAGCAGACACAGCCATTACGGACAATCACCTTGTCTCTTCCATTTCACTTACACTATTAAGCTTCTAAGCAGGCCTGGGGGGTGATATAAAATTATGTCATTCAAGTGTCCTCCCCTCTATTCAAATAATTTCCAAATATCTCTACAGTCGTACCTCGGAAGTCGAACAGAATCCATTCTGGTAGTCCGTTCGACTTCCAAAACGTTTGGAAACCAAGGCGTAGCTTCCGATTGGCTGCAGGAAGCTCCTGCAGCCAATCAGAAGCCGCGGAAGCCACGACAGACATTAGGGTTCCAAAGAACATTCACAAATCGGAACAATCACTTCCGGGGTTGCAGTGTTCAGGAGCCAAAACATACGAGTGCCAAGGCGTTTGGCTTCCAAGGTACGACTGTACTTAGCTTGACGTATAATTGCAAGTGTTAACAGCAGTTCTACATAGTGGTCCAATACCCTTGTCTATCCTTCATCATTCTGGTAGTTGTTACCCGTGATTTCTCCCTTTGTTTTGAAAACTTATTTAATTCCACAGACTATTTTGTTTCCTAGGCCAGGTGCCGCCAAAGCAGGAAAATTGAGAATGTAGCAATTTTACCTTTTAACAATCCAGACTCTGACCTTCAGCGCTAGAGGAAATGAAACAGTGGTTCTTCATTTTAAGGCAATAAGCGCATGCGACTTAATGCCACAATCTCCTGTTCACCCTGGAAAACACTGCAAATTCTTCCACAACCCTGACTCCTCCATCCAACTGGGCCTGTATTTGACAGTTCTCAGTAATGGATCTTTGCTAAAGAAGAGTCCACAGGAGACTTCACAGATGCTCATTCACAGATGTTTGGCCACTAGCAAAGGCCAGAGCTCCTTGCTAAGAACCACCTACTCACTTGGCAGCTAGGATAGGATGTTCTATAAACCAGTTTATTTTCGAAGCCAATTACACATCCTTGCACATTAATTAGCTGCTGAGCTTTCGATTACCTCTGAATAATGATAGAAGCTTAGGCGCTGCTAAGATTGCTGGTATGAGTTTAAATGCAAAATGCAATGGGTCTGTGCTTGGATTTCTGTTCTTTTAGCATGGCAAATCATCCCATGTTTGCTGGTGCTAACCTTCAAAGCCCTATATGGCTTGGCATCCAAAGGACTCCCCCCCCCCCCGAGATGTCCTAAGTGCTTCTGGCTCCAAGAGATGCTCTCTCTTTAGTTGTTGCCTATGAGACTTCCGACAGCTGCATAAAATGTCTTTGGAAGCATTTGGAAGCTGACTTCTTTTAATGGATTGTATGTGAGCCACTCTGTAAGCCCTTCTGGTTGAAGAAAAAGGTAAAGGTAAAGGACCCCTGACAATTAAGTCCAGTCGTGAATGACTCTGGGGTTGCAGTGCTCATCTCACTTTACTGGCCAAGGGAGCTGACGTTTGTCTGCAGACAGTTTTTTTCGGGTCATGTGGCCAGCATGACTAAGCCACTTCTAGTGAAACCAGGGCAGCACTTGGAAATGCCGTTCACCTTCCTGCCAGAGCGGTACCTATTTATCTACTTGCACTTTGACGTGCTTTCAAACTGCTAGGTTGGCAGGAGCTGGGACCAAACAAGGGGAGCTCACTCCGTCACAGGGATTTGAACTGCCGACCTTCCAATCGGCAAGCCCTAGGCTGAGTGGTTTAGACCACAGTGCCACCCGCGTCCCTATAGTTGGGTACAAACTCTCTAAATAAACAAGTAAATAAAGTTTGGGCACAGAACATTATCCTATATGTCAGCTAAAGTTCAACTACTGTGGGGGAGGGGGCACAGGGGTGGTTGCCCCGGGCGCAAAATTGTTATGGGCACAAAATTTCAAAACCCGGTGCTGCCTCAATACAGCAACGTGCTTTGTCACTGGGCTCAGCTGAAATATAACTATTCCATGTGAACCAGGAAGTGACCTCTCCAGACAACCGAATGAGTCTTCTCTTCTTATCTCTGTGGCTGGGATCTCCTGGGTGACATGGACGCCTTAGCAGTTGAATGCATATGCATACTCTGTCCTTTTCTCTCCCTCCTACCCTGTCTCTGCACAGTCCCGGGAACTGGCAACCCATGTTATGCCACTGGTCAATATCAAAGATTTATTGCAGAACATACCTCAGGTTATAGTGACCAGAAACTTAGGAACATGCTTCTACTGTGCAACTAGGGACAAAAAGGTGTATTGTTGACTCAACTGGAACGGCAGGCTTACCACAACTGCCTGGCTTATGGGAGCAGCAGTAACTTGGTTGATACTGATGCATGAAGGTAATAAAGTCTATAATTAATTTTTTGTCATCAGCTATAAATCTTCCCCCAGATTTGGGGAAAGAATTCTGTTCTTCTATTAAGTACAATGCCATTTTAGAGAGCCAAGGTGATTCACTGGATGCAGAATATATTTACATTAATAAGAAGTGTACAGTACTCAGAAATACAATATTTTAAAGTAATGTTCCTAACGTTCTAAATTTTATTTCTTTACATTCCGCAGCAAAGGAATGCACCAGGGTCTAGTGTTCAACGGAGTATGCACAAATTGTCAGAGAGCCAGGACTAAGCGACAAAAAAAAGTCCTTTCAAAATCCTGCTGCACAGACATTAGATACGAGTACAGGATTCTATATTATTCTTGTGAGTCTAATTAGATGTTCTGAGCAAACCCCAAATTAAAACAAAAATGCAAGCAAAACCTAGCCGCTTTATTGTTTTTCATATTTCATTTCCCAATAATACCATACATGTGGGGAACAGACTTATCCCCACATTTTATTTGTGTAATTTTGCTTGGAACATATTTAGACAAATGTTTGCTTTGAGAGGGAGTGTTATAGCAAGGGCAAACCCTCATCAGATTTCGGATGAGGTGATGTGGCTCCATAATGGTGACCTAGGAGCAGCCAGAAAAAAATGTGAAGACTTGTGGCTATCAAATGCTGGACTTCATTTACATAGTATGAGAGCCCATGCTAGCTAAGAGCCATGGGTGAGAATGTTAAGTACAGCAATTTACTTTACTGAAATTGGAAATGCATAAATGCATTGCTGTGTGTTTAATTCTGGAATTTTCCTCAATAACTCTCATGTGATTGGTTAACTCTGGTCACATGGGAGGTCTCTTATTAGATTACCCATTTTGTTTTGTGGGTGAGTGACTTGACTGTAATGGCTGCAACTCCATGAAGAAGAAACAGAGTTGAAGGCTCAGCTATACAGCTGCAAATTAAACATTTTAGGTGTGTTGTAAAGTGCAATATATAAATGTGACACTAGATGGGGACAGTGGGCTATGGAAAATTCAATGTATTTTTCAAAACATTTTTTTTTAAAAAAAAGCATTTTCACAGATTCCACCTTAGATAACTCTCTCTATAAATGTGATAGAGGAGAGGAGGGCTAATGTTTCTGTTTGAATGGATGTGACAGAAAGAAGTATGGAAGTTGATGTTCTTCCAAATAACATCCTGTTGATGCACATCCTGTTCCTTCACTCTCAGTTTTACAAGACTGAACTGTTGTTGCTGGAAGCCAAGCACTTAAATTTAGATGGGAGTAACTTATTGAGCTCAAACACTACAGTAAGAATAATTTGATCCAGGAAAACAGAGCACAGTTTTCTCTTATGTTGCAGTAAATACAATGGACCAAGCAGTTTAGTTTTACTAGATTTGTGTCATTAGAGAAGCCCCCCCATAAAACAAATCATTAAGGCTCCCCCTTTTACAATTATTCAGCTTGTAATCTCCTTCCACCCTTCTGGGCAGCTGACCGTGTAGGTGGGGAACCCATTAATCTAAAGAGAGTGAGAGGCCAAGTGCTCCACTTGTCATTTCTGAATGATTTTTAGAGTCCTCCTCCCCCTTTATAAAGCGTTCTGTCCAGCAGAATTTTCTTCATTTCACTCATGACAATTAAACAAGCACATCATAATCAGTTGACTGGAACCATCATCAAGGAGCGCTGCACAATATTGCAGCATCTGAAGAGATGGACACCAGCATATGGGAACACAGGGAATCTTCATTCATTCATTTATGTGGCATTTGTTAAAGGATTATGAGTGCAGCTGAACATGGCTTGACTGGGTCAAGGTGGAGGGAAGGACTTAGCCATCAATAAGTGACCACCCGCACAGGCAAAGTCTGGAGTGTCCAGTCAAATTGCTCCATACAGTTAAGTCTGGACAATTAACATGCTCATCTAACTTGCTCTACCACCCTCACAAGGAGAAGGGAATATGAAGCTGTGATGGTACCCTCATAGCCACGGAAGGATTCTGCAATTCCCCATCTCAATAATAATAATAAGAGATTTATACCCCACCAATATGGCTGGGTTTTCCCAGCCACTCTGGGCAGCTTCCAACAGAATAGCAATAATAATACAATGGTACCTTGGGTTACATTCACCTCGGGTTACAAACACTTCAGGTTACAGACTCCGCTAACCCCGAAGCAGTACCTCAGTTTAAGAACTTTACCTCAGGATGAGAACAGAAATTGTGCGGTGGCAGCAGGAGGCCCAATTAGCTAAAGTGGTACCTCAGGTTAAGAACAGTTTCAGGTTAAGAACGGACCTCCAGAACGAATTAAGTTCTTAACCCGAGGTACCAATGTACTATACAAATAAATGGCCACTTCATCCGAAAGGTTCTCCCCTAACATTTTAAGTGTCGATATTTGCATCCACAAATTCCACACCGGGCCACAAACCCACTTCAAAATAGCTTTGTAAGTCCCAGCCAGTTTAACAACTCAGGACCACATTCTTCTGAGGAACATGTTCTATCCAAACTTGTCTACCTCTTGGGAAGAGCTGCTTAATTTAAGATCTGCTAAGAAGCTCCATAGGGACGCGGGTAGCGCAGTGGTGTAAACCACTGGGCCTTGGGCTTGCCGATCGGAAGGTCGGTGGTTCGAACCCCGTGACGGGGTGAGCTCCTATTGTTCGGTCCCAGCTCCTGCCAACCTACCAGTTTGAAAGCACATCAAAGTGTAAGTAGATAAATAGGTATTCCTCCGACGGGAAGGTAAACAGTGTTTCTGTGCGCTGCTCTGGTTTCGCCAGAAGCGGCTTCGTCATGCTGGCCACATGACCTGGAAAAACTGTCTGCGGACAAGTGTCTGCTCCCTCTGCCAGTAAAGTGAGATGAGCACCACAACCCCAGAGTCGTTCGCGGCTGGACTTAACTGTCATGGGTCCTTTACCTTTACCTTTTTAAGAAGCTCCATACCCAACATTCTTCCCAGTTCATTGTAGCCACTTTGCCCCATTATATGTTCTCTGTGTCATTTGGCAGGTGAACTTCATTGCAAAATGCCGAGAACAGCAAAATTCTTTCTCTACCCCCCCCCCTTGCAAATTTCTAATGATAGCTGGCTTTCGGTTCTTGTATAGTTTCAGAAAGCGCAAATTGTGTAGGTTTCCCTTTAAACTGAATTGAATTCCCCTCCTCATCTCGATACACATTCCACCCCCCCCTTTTTAAAAAGGTATATATATATTTTTTTTAAAAAAAGGCAAACTAGGCTCCTGCTGCTGAGGTAGTCATTACCCACCAACTAGTCCTGTTGTGGGCTAAGCAAAGCTGTGATGTCCTGGCCCTCTCTTAGCAGCTGGTCCACAGGTGAGCGACAAGTCACCAGGTGAAGAGTCATTGAATGATTTATTGAATGAATCAGCCCAAAGTTTGAAGCCTATGCAATCCACAGCTCATCTCAAGACTGCTGAGTCTGTGCTTTCCTCTCTCCAAATGTTCATCTTATTAAGGTCAAACGAAAACTACAGCAAGGAGCTAGACAGGCAGAAATAAATTTCCGCTTATCTGTTTTTACTGCTGCCAAGCAATTGTGCCAGGCATTAATTATGCATCGTGTATTAGCATTTGCCTTTTGTCATATTGTATTTTCAACGTCAGTGAGAGCAAAACAGACTGCTTTGCCAGGTTCCCTTCCCTTCCCTGGGCTGTGGGAATTTCAGGGCAGCTTCTATGGGGTTTGGTTTCCATTTGAGTACTGGAGACTTAAGAGGGAATCATATGCAATGTGGGAAATGCAGGGCTCCAAACTATGCATTTCCTCATAAAGCAGCTATGGGGTGCAGGGGATTTCCTCATAGGGGAGAATCTACTGGTGGGACTTGAGTGCTTAACCCTTTTTTGCCTGATGAATTTCTCCTGAAAACAATACCCCACAGAAGGCTATGAATCTGGAATCAAAAGTTTGGTGCCCCTTTTGTAGGAAATGTATATATGTGCTAGTACATTCTGCAGTTGGGCTGAAGTCAGCCCAAGTGAGTGAAGAACAGACCGCAAGAGGGGGGATTTGCTATGGTTGCCATACATCCAGAATTTTCTGGACATAGCCGGGATTTGTCCATCAAAACTGGCGTCCGGGTGGAATTTCCAAAAAGCAGGGGTGGGGGGAGTCTGGGAAAATCCTGGAATATGGCAGCCCATATCGGAAATGTTGATATTTTTTGCTATTTCCCTTAAAAATATGTTTAAAACTGCATTTTTAATTTGGAGATTTTGGCTGAACAAAAACAACTTTGCCCCTCAAAAGCTCAACAGCTCTTGTGACTAGATTTTGAAATATGTCCACCCTATGTCTTACTAACAATACGTGCGTGTTTTAGCGGACGTTGATCAGCATTTCAGTAGCAAGCACAGAGTCTCTGCTACCTTACCAAGCGACAACATCAGTTCAGCCTCCCAAATTGCATTCTAGCTGTGAGCAGTACAAATTCTGACGCCTCCCTCGACAGAGAGAGAGAGAGAGAGAGAGAGAGAGGAATAAATATCTCTTGCTCGTCTGCCAGAGGCCACAATTGACTTTCGGTCCCAGCCGACATCTTGCAGGTTGGTTTTCCTTCCGTTGTGCTCTTTGAGACATGAGACAGGGGCTCTTGCTGCTGCTAATTGCCCATTAATTAAACACGGATTATCCACCCATCAACTACTAGGCTTCAACAAACCCCAGAGAGGGGTACAATCTCTTTGCCTGACAGAACAGCATGACATGATAGTACGCTGGAAAGTCATAAGGCAGGATAATGATTGCTGCGAGGCGCCACTTTGCACTTCATCACCCCCCCCCCCCTTGTGAGCAGAGTGTCTCCTCTGCCTTGCAGAACGTGGTCAGGCCTACTGGAGGGTGTGCTTGAAAGTCTGGGCTCTTGGCACCTCTGGACCTCTTCAAAATCTCTGGAGAAATTATGGGTGGTAAGGGGCACTGCTTCACACATGGCCTCCTGGAAGTGGAATCATGGCCAAGATGGTGTGAGGGCCAGGCAGGGTGGCAGCAAGGCTGAGGGGGTTCAGGCTCACAAGCAGCAATGCCTCTCTGCCCCAGGCCCACAGTATCCAGAGGCGTGTGGTCAGTGGATGAGGGGGACTAGGCTAGTCCCCTAAATGTTCCCCTGGCTCCTCATTCCCAAAGCCTGGGAAGCTTCTGCCCAGCTTAGGGGGGGGGGAGGTGTGATGCTCTGATGGGTCCAAGAGCCATCTCTCAACCTTTGTGAAGGAGGATGGGAGGTTCCAGCTGATCAGAGGCC